GGAGAGTCTGCCACTCCTCTGTCGGGAGTTGGACCGGTACCACCTGGATCTCTGTCGTATTCAGGAGGTCCGGTGGACCGGCTCTGGCTCTTGCCACCATGAGGGGTGGACAGTGCTCTTCTCGGGGCAGGAGACTACCATACACCAGGGAGTGGCTCTTCTTCTGAACAAAATAATGAAGGGAGCGTGGGAGTGCGGTGGTGAGGTGTGGGAAGCTGTAAGTTCAATGCTACTTTATGGCTGACCTTGTGGTTACTTATGCCCCCACCAAAGACGAACATCCGTGGAGGGATGCAGGCAAGGCTGATGAGTTAGATGTCTTCTGTGACCTCCTGTCACAGGTGCCAGCTAAAGTGGCCCCTCGGGATATACTCATCTTGTTTGATGACTTCAATGCCCGAGTTGGTCATGATGCTGGCACTTGGTCTGGGGTGATTGGAAGGCATGGGCCAGATCAGCTCAATAACAACGGTAGGAGGCTGCTAGATTTGTATGCAGCCCATGGGCTTGTAATTACCAACACGCTGTTCCGGCATCCGCGCATCCACACAGCATCATGGATGCATACCAGGTCCAAACAAGAACATCTGCTGTACTACATAATGATGGAACAGCGGATGCGGGCCCATGTCCTTGACACCGGGACCTACCGTGGAGCTGATCTGCCCTCTGACCATAGATTTGTCATCTGTAAGATGCGCCTGCCATTCTTCCACTCCGGTGGTGGGTGTACACACAGGACCCCATTCAAATGTAAGGTGGCCTGATCTCAGCTAGCTGATGAAAGTTGCAAGCAAGAATGTCATCATCGCTTGCAGCTGAGGTAGGTATCGTCCCCCACTCCTCCAGATGTCGAGAGTAAATGGGTGAGATTTAGGACTGTGACTCAGGAAGCTGCAATGGCTGCTTGGGTATGCGGTACAGACCTCCCCAGAGACCCTGGCTGACAGGGAAGGTGTTCTGGATGGCTGGAAAAAAGCGACAGGCCCACTCTAATCGCCTACAGCATCCCACGTCTGAGAATGAAGAGGCTTACCGCAGTTTTCGCTCGGAGGTTCGGAGAGCCATGAGCCAAGGATGGGTGGTGGTCACGGATTGGAGGGGAGATGGAGTCCACCTCAATGGCCAGTGATCACAAATCCCTATTTAAATCCATTAAAAAAGTAACCTCCACGCACCACTGCTATTACCATCATTAGGGGAAAAAATGGTGATCCAATCTCCAACCCCCAGGAACAGGTTTGCAGATTTGCTGAGCATTTCTGTGAAGTTCTGGGGTAGGGGAAATCCCTCGACATGGAAAACATCATGGGACAAAGTGGGGATGACCCTGCTGAGGCTGCTTGGCCTCAAATATTGTGAGTGGCTGGCTGAGGTGCCATCTGTTGAGGAAGTACTAAAGGTGATCCAGTCTCTGAGACCAGGAAATGCATCGGGTAGAAATCATCTCCCGAGCAAAATGCTGAGAGAGGGTGGCATTTGTGCACAAACTGCCCTATATGACATCATAACAACAGTCTGGACCACTGGACGGGTTCCACAGTATTTGAAGGATGCCCTTGTGGTCCCCCTTTTTAAGAAGGGGGACCGCACAGACTGTAACAACTACAGGGGCATCTCACTCCTCAACGTTCCGGGAAAGGTCCTGGCAAGAATTGTTCAACATCACCTTGCCAGGCACGCTGAGGAGAGGCTTGCAGAGCCGCAATGTGGTTTCAGGAAAGGGCGGTCCTGCACAGATGCCATATTTTCTGTCCGTTTGCTACAGTAGAGGTGTAGGAAATTCCAACAAGATCTAAATGTCTGCTTTATTGACATGGTCAAGGTCTATTATACCATCAGTAGGCCTGGGCTCTGGGTTGTTCTTCGTTCTTTCGGAGTCCCTGACCCTCTACTCACGATGATTAAGGACGTTCATTATGGTGAGCGGGCCGGGTAAAACTACTTGGCCCTTTGGATTGCACCCGTTGGGTTGTACTCACGCCTTTGGATTGCACCACTCTTCGATTTTTCATTAACCTGCTAATCTCTCACATTAACATAGCCACTTCCGTGCCCTCGTCTAGGAGGCCGCTTTGGATTGCACCACTCTTCGATTTTACATTAACATGCTAATCTTTCACATTAACATAGCCACTTCCGTGCCCTGGTCGAGGAGGCTGCTCTCCTATCTTAGAGTTACATGCTAATTTGTCACGTTAGCGTCACTAGCCCAAGCCACGTTTTTATTACCCTTGGGGTACACCCATTTCAAACCTTTAAGACTGTCTGCCTCAGCAGCAGATCATGCATTCCCACCTGATGACGGACGCTTGTGATGCGCCCGAAACGTCGTGATTTATTTTATTTTATACCTACGTGACTTTACCGAAAGAACCAAAAAGTATGGATTCCTGCAGTCACGAAAGCTTCAAATCAAGATTGAAAACTTGATTGATTCAATGTTCGATAATATCATAGGCCACGTATCAATGATTGTTTTGCAAACGTGCAATCTTGCGGGGTAGTGGAGAAGTTGGATGAGGCCTGGGCTTTATGAGATACTCTTGGCTCGCATTGGTGAACTTATCGAGGAAGGTTTTATTTCGATTTCACTCACCGTGGCCACACTTATACCAGTTAATAAACTGACCAAATACATCCAAGCCACGTGTTTTGTGCAGTGCAGTTCAGGTTCAGAGTGCAACTCAAGATAACGTCCACGGCATCCTTTATCTACCGTTAACAACTTGCAGGGGTACAAACTTCTGGAACAACTTACCTCTCCATATCAATAGTACATGTACGAATAATAAATTGAAGACGTTATTTTCAGATTGCGTATGAATAACTCAAGTGATGTGGCCAAAAAAACAGTCGTCTCAAATAGTTGCTGTCTGTTTGTTAATTGACTTTGTTGTTGTACACTTTATACACTATTGTGTTGAACATCGTATACCTTAACAAATTACTTCCTTACTCGGCAAATATCTCAACTACCTGTTTATTTAGCTACCTCGAGATGTATTTCATGGGAGGCACAATATTAGAGATAAAGAGAACCATGCGAAGTACTACACACAGCGATACCGCCTGGAAACACAAAGAAGCATGTACAGTACTACACACAAGAGACACACACTGACTGGAGACACAAGTATATTCTGTAGAGTACTACACAGACACACACTGGAGAAACACAGAAGTGTATACTCTACAGCACTGCTCACAGGCACAATCACATATTATACACCAACAGAAGCAATTAACAGTACTACAGATAGACGCACAAACATGCTAAAGACACACAAATGCATATACATCACTACAAAGATCATCGAAATAAATTTCGATTTAAAGCTTTCGTGACTGCAAGGATTCATCTTATTTGGTTCTTTCGGTAAAGTCACGTAGAATGGGAATAAAATAATAAATTGATGAAATAAAATAACACAATAAAATTATCACGACGTTTTGGCCACAACACAAGCGGCCTTCATCAGGTGAAGGGACGAGACTGTCTGGAGGACAGCGCTGGAGCGAACAAAGCCACGCTCAAATCGCGACCATTAAGCTGTGTGAGAAGAGTAACTGGGTATACACTACACGGTAGAATGAACTCCTCTGCCGTGGCAGATCACTGTTATAATTCAGTGGGCTCACATGACATTGACTTCTCCAAGACGGAGGTTCTTTGGAAACCAACCGGCTACCATGAGAGATTCGTTCATGAGGCCATTCACATATACAAGCACAGAGACAATTTCAACCGAGAAGATGGATTCTGGCTAAGTAACCATTGGAAAGATGTTTTAAACCCTTTCCGTTCTTAATTAATTGAATTTTACGATGACCTTCAGACCGCAGCTCTTTCGCTGGCATTGACTCTTAATACCTCTCACACCACGGTTAATGGTATGGTTTACAACATGGAGTATAACAGCGCCTCGCAGCTGTCTCTCTCCCCCCTCCTCCGTTCCGACCATGGATGAACTCGTCCGTCTGAACGGGGCTCGTAGCTATCCATGGTGCTAAAGTTGAGGGTAAGAATCCACCCATTTTTTCGCCATATAGCATTGTGATATATAACGACTTATTGTTGGTAGCTTAGCTGATTGGAGAATATATAGAGTTTATTGATAACATTGAGGTAATTTATACATATTTTTTATTGGTTTACTATATAGTATTCATTATATAGTGTAGTGTATACCCAGTTACTCTTCTCATACAGCTTAAAGGTCGTGATCTGAGCGTGGCTTTGTTCGCTCCAGCGCTGTCCTCCAGACAGTCTCGTCCCTTCACCTGATGAAGGTTGCTTGTGTTGTGGCCGAAACGTCGTGAGAATTTTATTGTGTTATTTTATTTTATCAATTTATTATTTTATTCTCATTCTACGTGACTTTACCGAAAGAACCAAAGAAGATCATCGAAATAGCCTCATCAAGCACCTATGAAGGCTGGAACGGCTCACGATGGGTTTGGTGGCCAGCACCATGCCCGGCCGCCTATGTGTTCGAGGGTGGAGATGTTTACGACACACCGCACAAAGTACAAATTTGAGGCTCAGTTGACCTAAGGGATGAGGCCAAGGACAGATTCAGATAATCGTTACCAATTGTGGTGGTGATGGACGTGAGTGAGAATCGAACTCGGGTCTCTGATGGTTTTGTAGTTCAGCGCTAACGTTACAGACACCACTCCCTAAGCTGTGGAACAATGAGTTTATCTCTCTTTACTAATCTCACAATAAAGCTATCGCAGCTGAGTTCCTCTGATTTATATTGACAAGAAAACTGTATAATCTTGGGACGTGCGTACAGTAGCCATGGTCACCTAGAGGCTGCTGTTTGCGCACCTAGGGGCACAGTTCAGATTCTAGGGAGTGTCTCCAGATGTCAATGACAATTAAAATATTTTTTAGCAGTTTACTTCCTTCTCCACCGTTGTTATAAGAGAGAGGTCCTGGTCCAGCTTCTCTCTGAGCCACAAAGTGAGCGATCCCAGTGAAGCCATGGGTCATGGCGAGCGCGACTCCCAGTAAGAGTGTGGATAGTGAGCTGTGCTGCTCCATATGCCTGGACACGTTCGTCTGCCCCTCCACACTGAGCTGTGGACACTCGTTCTGCCTCCGGTGCCTGGAGGCCGCCTGGGAGACGGCGAGCAGCTTCAGCTGCCCGCAGTGCCAAGCGACCTTCCCTGTGCGACCCCAGCTGAGGAGGAACGTAGTCCTCGCCAACCTGGCGGAGCAGCTCAGAGTTGGAGTCGGGATGGCCGAGGCCATTGTGTGTGACATCTGCAGTGGTGACCAGATTCCTGCAGTGAAGACCTGCCTGAGATGTGAGATGTCTTACTGTGCAACGCACGCAAGGCCTCACTTGGAGAATCCCAGGTTAAGAGAACACCTCCTGGTGGCTCCCATCGCGAACCTGGAGGAGCGACGCTGCCAGCAGCACAGACAGGAGCTCATTCTGTACTGTGAACAGGATGACAGCCTGGTCTGCACAGTCTGTACCATCGCTGGGGAACATAGAGAGCATGAGGTCATTCCATTGGAAAATGCACAACGGACAAAACAGGTGAGATATAAATCGATGCTATAATCCAAAATTCCTCAGTGTGACTGCAGCATTCTGCGTGTCTTGTTCAGATAGAGAGTCTGTATTTTATCACTTAGATTTGCATATTATTAGGTAACTCCTATCGTGTCAGCATTGTGACGGTCAATCAAATAATTTTGGGCAACACGGATTGTCAATTTATAAATGTGTCGTAACCCTCCACCACCCGACACGGCCAATCAGCAAAAAAAAAGTGTCACGTTGACAAAAAGACAAATAATTCACTACTTTAGCCCACCAGTGTGTTGAAGAGTGAATCCACATTTACAGTTTGAGTACGACGTTTCGCTGGTAAATACATCCAGCATCATCGGGCAATTCGCCAGAATGGTAAAGCCCTCGCTTGCTCCCGGTTTTATATAGAGCAAGCGAGGGCTTTACCATTCTGGCGAATTGCCCGATGATGCTGGATGTATTTACCAGCGAAACGTCGTACTCAAACTGTAAATGTGGATTCACTCTTCAACACACTGGTGGGCTAAAGTAGTGAATTATTTGTCTTTTTGTCAACGTGACACTTTTTTTTGCTGATTGGCCGTGTCGGGTGGTGGAGGGTTACGACACATTTATAAATAAACGCGATCTAACCCTAAAAAAACCTTTATTATGAATAATATTGGTCGCGAAAGCCTACATGTTAAACTGACGGATTGTCAAACTGGCACACGTTAAACAGCAGAGACACGTAAGATGCCAATGTTGATTTGAATTGATAGCAAAGCAGGGTGTTCCATGGTTTAGTTACAAGATAAAGCTGTTTGTGATATGGCTGGCAAAGTTGTAAAATATACTTGGCATTATAAGATTCGTACTTGTGAGTAGCAATGATGAGTGGAGAGAAATGTAGACTAACGCGAGATTCTTCAAACGTGAGAAGGTTCAAAAGTGCACTGACCGTGAACTTAAAAGAGGCAAATCAGAAGCCATCCCAGTGGTAGAGACAGGCCGCCAGGCACGGTTTGATTGTCCATAGGCCAGATTTAGATTTGATTCTGTTGCAATGTTTGGTACCTAAAATTCCACCCTGCATCTAACATAGACGCCGTGTATTGGCATTCCACAACAAAACAGTGGATTGTGGTTGAGCGCTACCACGGTGAAGCTTGGCCAACCACCAGAACATTTAGCCTGTCACGCTTTTATTAGCAGGTGAAATGGGGCAACAGAGTGTGGGACTAAATGCACACACGCAGCAGACTGGGCGAACTTGGCGTGGGCAGAGTCCCACGTTCACAGTGCTTAATCCTGCCAGTGTCTGGCCCTGCCAGAGGCAATCAAATGGGGGACAGCTTAAGTCAAACATCACAATAAAGGATATTCAAGTCAATCATCACCATCATGACTATGAATGTGTTTGTTGTTTCTGTTGTCGTTTTTGCTGCTGGTAATATTCTTTATATCATTAAAGTGTTAATATGATAGTGTTAATATTGACATTATTGTGTTTGCTGCTACTGACAATGTTATTCTGCATATTCAATTCTGGCTGTCGCGTGATGATGCTGGTTGTAATTAGTAATGAAGCAAAACGTCATGGTACTCGAATTGTAAATGTTGTGGGTTTACTTTCCAACACACCGGTGTGCTGAACTAGTCACTAATTGGCACGTTGTGTTTTCGTAACGAACCTTACTAATTGACTGAGTCGTGTGATGGCGGGTTTAACGACACATTTATATTTACACGACCTAACACTTTATGAATAGTATTGGTCGCCAAAGCCTACTTGTTAAACTTAATCTGCACAGGTTTACTTGTAGCAATATTCTTAAAATTACTATTATCACATACGCTGCATTTATAGAAATTTTTAAACTGTGATATGAGTGTGCGGTTGTTACTGATTTGGGGAGTAGTGGTGTAGTTGTTAGCATGCTGCGAATCTGGTCACATGTCTCGCCTTCCCCTGAGTTCACTTGTCCCAAACATACCCGAGCAGCAGCAATATTAGCACCAGAGCTGTCTGTACCCTAATACTGCTCTGGCACTCAGCTTGGTTTCCTGTAATATTTCGGATTTAAGTTTTGGTGTTTCCCGCACTGTCATGCACAATGTGTGCTGTAGGTATCTTGGGGGGTCATGGTGATCGGTTCCGTGAGATTCCATTGTTGGGAAAAACTGGAGAAAACACGAGTGTGGGAGTTTGGACTCCTTAATACACTGCGCTGTAATCCAGCCACCTACCTCAGATACGACTGTTGTGCTGCCTCCTGAAGACCACCTCACAACCTGGGAGGTTGGAAGATGCAAACGGTGATGATTATCGCTGGGCGATCCACAAAATCTGCCTGCAAGGCTCCGGGTAAATGATGATGATAATGATGGGAGTACCAAACATGGCGAATTTGTCTACCTCGTGTATAGGAGGCATTGAGACTCGAGAAGATGGAGAGAGAGGAGAAGAAGACTACGGCAGAATCAAGGACACAGCAGCTCAAGGGTACCTTCAAACACGTGCAGGTACAGAGAGACACACAGACACGTGCAGATACAGAGAGACACACAGACACATGCAGGTACAGAGAGACACACAGACACGTGCAGGTAGAGAGAGACACACAGACACATGCAGGTACAGACAAACACGCAAACTATACGGGTACTTAGCATTTGGCATGAGTGCCCATGAATACCCTCACTAAATCTCCTCCTTTCATGCATTTCATTACTCGACGTTCTCAAAAATTAAGTCACCTGCCTTTTTGTACGGAGTAATGAGACGTGGCCATGTCGAATTCCTTTATGAAGTCACATCGCACTGTATTGTGTTGCGTTTCAATAGCACACCATTGTATCTCTGCGTAGGAGTCTCTGCGTGGGACCAAGGCGCGGATCAGCCGAGAGTTTGACCGCCGGAGGGAGCAGCTGAGAGAGGAGGAGAGGGAGGCGCTGGAGCGCGTGGACGAGGAGGGCCGCTCCGTGCTGTCCCGCATCCAGGCGGACATCGCTCGCTACGAGAGCAGAGCACGCGGCCTGGAGCAGGAGATCAACCAGCTGCTCGCCGCACTCACCGTGCAGGACCCACTCTCCTTCCTGCAGGTGGCACCACCTCAATTCACTCGCCGTGGTGTCCAGGAGATCGTGGGTTCGACCCCGATCTTGATGATGCCTGCTGTAAATTTAGAGTTTGCGTGTCTCTCTCTCCCCCCCCCCCCCCCCCCCGTGGTCACGTAGATTTTTCTCTGTGTCCTCCAGTTTTTTTTGCTCCATACAATGAGGGAAAAATGTATCTGATCCCCTGCTGATTTTGTACTTTGCCGACTGACAAATAAATGATCAGTCTATAATATTTGAACAGTGAGAAACAGAATAACAACAACAAAATCCAGAAAAAACGCATGTCAAAAATGTTATAAATTAATTTGCGTTTTAATGAGAGAAATAAGTATTTGACCCCTCTGCAAAACATGACTCAGTACTTGGTGGCAAAACCCTTGTTGGCAATCACAGAGGTCAGACGTTTCTTGTAGTTGGCCACCAGAATTGCACACATCTCAGGAGGGATTTGTTACACTCCTCTTTGCAGATCTTCTCCAAGTCATTAAGGTTTCGAGGCTGACGTTTGGCAACTCGAACCTTCAGCTCCCTCCACAGATATTCTATGGGATTAAGGTCTGGAGACTGGCTAGGCCACTCCAGGACCTTAATGTGCTTCTTCTTGAGCCACTCCTTTGTTGCTTTGGCCGTGTGTTTTAGGTCATTGTCATGATGGAATACCTATCCATTTTCAATGCCCTGGCTGAGGAAAGGATGTTCTCACCCAAGATTTTTACAGTACATGGCCCCGTCCATCGTCCCTTTGATGCGGTGAAGTTGTCCTGTCCGCTTAGCAGAAAAACACCCCCAAAGCATAATGTTACCACCTCCATGTTTGACGGTGGGGATGGTGTTCTTGGGGTCATAGGCAGCATTCCTCCTCCTCCAAATACGGCGAGTTGAGTTGATGCCAAAGAGCTCCATTTTGGTCTCATATGACCACAACACTTTCACCCAGTTGTCCTCTGAATCATTCAGATGTTCATTGGCAAACGTCAGACGGGCATGTATATGTGCTTTCTTGAGCAGGGGGACCTTGCGGGCGCTGCATGATTTCAGTCCTTCACAGCGTAGTGTGTTACAAATTGTTTTCTTGGTGACTATAGTCCCAGCTGCCTTGAGATCATTGACAAGATCCTCGCGTGTAGTTTTGGGCTGATTCATCACCGTTCTCATGATCATTGCAACTCCACGAGGTGAGATCTTGCATGGAGCCCCAAGGCGAGGGAGATTGACAGTTCTTTTGTGTTTCTTACATTTGCGAATAATCGCAACTACTGTTGTCACCTTCTCACCAAGCTGCTTGGCAATGGTCTTGTAGCCCATTCCAGCCTTGTGTAGGTCTACAATCTTGTCCCTGATATCCTTGGAGAGCTCTTTGGTCTTGGCCATGGTGGAGAGTTTAGAATCTGATTGATTGATTGTTTTTGTGGACAGGTGTCTTTTATATAGGTAACAAGCTGAGATTAGGAGCACTCCCTTTAAGTGTGTGCTCCTAATCTCAGCTCGTTACCTGTATAACAGACACCTGGGAGCCAGAAAACTTTCTGATTGAGAGGGGGTCAAATACTTATTTCCCTCATTAAAATGCAAATCATTTTATAACATTTTTGACATACGTTTTTCTGAATTTTGTGGTTGTTATTCTGTCTCTCATCGTTAATAAAAACCTACCATTAAAATTATAGACTGATCATTTCTTTGTCAGTGGGCAAACGTACAAAATCAGCAGGGGATCAAATACTTTTTTTCCCCTCACTGTATATAGAATCAATATCACGCGTTTAAAGAATTTGGCTGCTCCTAAAAATGTCCACGTGATAAGCCAATTCGTTGAGCTGCAATTTGTGGCCATGTCATTTCTGAAAAAGAGCGACAAGCGAGTAACTGGTGGTCTTACCTGGTAAATTAAAAACAGTTTTCTTTGGTTCATTCAGAGCTCAAAAACACGAGTTGTTGACGTTTTTAAACCACTCGTGTAGGTGCTAGACTAGGCCTGTAAAGAGCGGTTTTGGTATGTTTAGACGTCCGTCCGTGTCCAGTTTAACGAACCCTGTTTTTTTACCATTATCAGTGTGCAGGTATTTGTTAATTTCCTGATGCCGCGCTCCACTGTAAACAGCACGCGACTGTGTGGAGGTGGGGCATCTGTTTAGGATGTCAATGTGAAATGCGGGTTTGTGTTTTTCAGGATCCCCTGCTTGAGAGTCTCAGGTCAGTACCAACCCAGACTCAAACTCGAGCTCTGTCTGCCACCTGGTGGACAAAACAGAAAACGGTCATGATGTGGTTCCTAATAAGTTATCTCCATATATATGTAGTGCCGTGAATTCACTTGGACGACAACCGTCTCTTTTTCCGCCGTCACTTTTATTCCATCGTTCCGTACACACAGTAATTATCTCCGTGCTCCGCCAACTCGGACACTCCGATTTACTTCAGCATCGTCCGTGCATCCCCTTCCACACACAGTGTTTCTTCGCCTATCTCTTCACACACAGTGTCTACCCTTCCACACACAGTGGTTCGTCTTCTATCTCTTCCACACACAGTGGTTCGTCTTCTATCTCTTCCACACACAGTGGTTCGTCTTCTATCTCTTCCACACACAGTGGTTCGTCGTCTATCTCCTCACACACAGTATTGCCGCTATCTCTTCACACGTAGTGACTTCCATCTATTCACACACAGTGACTCTATCTATCTCCGCTAACGCTGACTCTCCCTATCGCTATTTACTGTCTTTGGGGTCTGGCTCTCTATCTATTCTTCCCTAACATTTCCAGCTGTCTTCTCCGTATCTCTTCACCTCTCGCCAACAACTGCCCAGCAACAACTTCCCAGCAGCAACTCTCCAACAGCAACTCTCCAACAGCAACTCTCCAACAGCAACTCTCCAACAGCAACTCTCCTCCGTTCAAACCACCTCACGTTTTATCCCCTCTCGCATTAGCCTTAATTAATTGCCACGTGGCTCGCTGGCCGTTTCCCGCCAGCCCGCACCTGTCCCCCTCATCAAACATTCCGACGCCACCACTTAACGCTAACAGCCTCTCGACCAATCACAGCCCTCGCGCCACGACTCCCTTAATTACTTGGGTTTGTTTACGGCACTTGCGACTCGACCACCTGTTCGACCTCGTGTGACCCGTTCTCCTTGTCTGTCTGTATGTACTGTACATGGCCAATTCCTATGCGCATTATCTACTCCACTACATCACCCCCCCCCCCCACCCGTGATGAAAGAACCTAGCCATCCCCGGCTACGATATACTCGAATTGGAGTAGTGGAGTGAAGCAAACGGAACGATGACAACATATATACATAACGCACTTGCAATATACAACCATTTTGTACAATCACGCAACGACGCGCACACAACACCTTTATACAGAATTCCCAACTCCCAAATTCAATGTATTGTTTTCCTCCTGGAACGGGTTCCCGCTGCCGGTCCATCTCCCCTGCATGAGAATCTCTTCGGTAAGGGAGGCCCTTGCTCGTCTTGCCAATGAACCCTGCGCCCATCCCTGTCCCCGCGACACTCTGCTGGCGGGGCTGTCCGTCGTTCACGGTCGGGACGGCCATTGGTCCGGATCTGTGGCTGTTCAATCGGCGTCCGGTCGGTAACCCTGGCCAAAAAGGGCGATCCTGCAGGCACACGGGGGGCAGATCTCTGGGACACGTGCACTTGTGACCTCCCCACAGGTTCGTCAGACACATCCAATACAGGCCGCTCTCGGATGGGGAATGACGCATCATATGGTAACACAACTTTCTTCAAACGCGACGGGTGAACAAACCATTCGCACACTCTGATCCCGTAAAACCTCCACAATATCAACGGGCCCCTGCCAGGGACGGTGAAATTTCGGGGACGTTCCCACCGGCACCATGGGGCAGTGCAACCAGGCTTTATCTCCAACACTCCACGGCTCTCGCGGCCGCTGCCTGCCGAGCAATCTTTCGTTAGCGGCTTGTCGTCGTGCCGTATTTTGCAATGCAGCCTCTCGGGCTTCCCTTAGACGGTCCAAAGCCACCTGCATCGGAGCAGGCACCATCGTAGATTTCTCCCGTTTTCGAATTCCCCATTTCACAATAGCCGGCGCTTCCGGTTCCCGTCCATACATCAGAAAAAATGGCGAGTACCCCGTTGAGGCATGCGGGGCCAATCTATACGCGGCCAGCGTCGCTGCAACATGCAGATCCCAATCATCTTGAACGGTGTTTACTTGGTGACAAAGCATGGACGTCAGCGTCCTATGCAGCCACTCGACCATCCCATCAGTCTGCGGGTGGTACGGGGACGTCCGAATCTTTTTGGTCCCCAGCGAGTCACACACGTCCTTAATTAATTTCGATGAAAAATTTCTGCCTTGGTCAGTAAGCAAATGTTCCGGGGCCCCCTTATCTAGTACGTATCCATTCAAGAAAGCCTCAGCGATCGACGTCACTGACTGGTCTACTAGCGGCCATGCCATCGGCCAACGAGTTAAGTATTCCACCCCGACGAGCAAATATCTGTGCCCTTGGGGGGTGACGGGAAACGGACCCAAAATATCCAGCGCAACAATTTCGTTCACTCTCGAAACTTGAATCGATTGCAAAGGGACATGATATGGCCGTGCCGGCGCTTTCCTCCGTGCACATTCCTGGCACGCTTTTACATGCTGTTTCACATCGTTAAACATTCCCGGCCAGTAAAATTCACTCCCCACCGTCAACGCGGTCTTCTTCTCCCCCAGATGCAGCAATTTCTCATGTACCTCGTTAATAAGTTTCCCCCGCAACACCGTCGGGACAATAATACAAAAAAATTTTGCTTCCACATCCCAGCGAACAAGCAACCCTTCCGTTAACATCAAAAATGGGCGATCCTCCGATCCCCTTGAACGAGTGGCACGCAGCCTCATTCTGGTCAGTGAGGAATCTTCCACCTGCAGTTGCTTCCACTGCTTCAATGACAACCCCAACAGTCCAATTTCTGCTCCAGGGACTATCC